CAAAGAACAGATTTCCGCAAGACTTTCCTAGTTGATGAATATTTACTCCTCATATAAAGAGTGTTTTTTCTAGAATCGGTCGGATCATGGTGGTATCAAATTCAGAGGTGAGACTTCAGAATGTGATATATGTTGTCGTGAGTCGGATCTCTTTGCTGTTGGTCCGTGTTTACATCCTATATGTATGGAATGCGGAATTCGATTACGAATTTTGTGTAAAAATGAAACGTGTCCAAAATGCAGAGCTGGAATCGATGTGGTAATTTATTTTTCTGCTAAGTAAAGTTTAGATTAATTTTAGGAATATATATCTTTTTTGTTATTTTGTTAACGACTCGAAATGATTCGGCGAAGCTTGAAATACAACACCTTTCAAATACTTGTGATATATGCTTTGGTATGTTCCGCACCTACCGGTTATTTTATATTTTTATGTGATTGAAACATAAATAATAATGGTACTACTAAAATCTGTATAAATGAGTTAATCAAGTTTTTTTACTCATACGTAATTAGGCATAAAATTTTAGTTGTATTTTGTACCGTTTCCGGGTAATTGGAATGGTTACCAAATACCCCCTGAATGGATAGAACATGCGGATGCTGCAAGGCACAAAATTAAATTGGCAAATGATTATGTTGCACGATGTTACGACAGCTATTTATCCCATCAGTGCTTAATATGTGAAAAAAAGTAAGTTCCACATTGTTTCTCAATTCCTTCTGGCAAATTGTAAACTGTTTTCTCAATAAAATTCAATTAATTTGTAGGGGTGAGAAACGGGTATTTGAAACGTTTGCTCAGTTGAATCAACATGTATATATGGTTCATCGTTTTGAATTTTGTGATATTTGTGTGGAAAACTTGAACTTATTTTCTCATGAACGGAAATTTTATTCACAGCCTGAACTGAAACGGCATCTCGTGTTTGGTGATTCTAATGATATGAGCTTTAAAGGTGGGTATGTTCAATACATCTTTTTAGTTAGTACTTATTGATTGAACAGCTGTATCTGCTGATTTCTGTATTTGTTACATTGTATTTAATAAAAATTCCTAATGCTTTCGGGCATGCATAGCGGAGAGATATGCATAACGCCTTAAAATGTATCATTTTTCACAAAACGAACGCGTTTATCTTCTTGCTTATTTTCATTGGCATGATCAAATTTAAATGGCAGATTTAAATATAAATGACATTGTGTTATTAAATGACGTTAATTTAAATGACACTGTGTAATTGTAGAAGGTATCACTTTTTTCAAAGGCATATTAGGGTGCATAGAGTTTTTCATTTTCAGGTCATCCACAATGTTTGTTCTGTGAAAAACGTTTCTTGGATGAAGAGTTACGTTACAAACATCTTCGCAAAGAGCATTTCTTCTGCCAGATTTGTGATGTGGAAGGGCGAAACAATTACTTTTTTCCGTAATCCGTTTTTATTTTCCGACTTTAGATTAAATTTAATGTGAAACATTTGGATATGGTCTTGCGCTATGTATATATATATATATATATATATATATATATATATATATATATATATATATAT